CAGGGACCAGAGTGCTGCCACTGCACTCTGAAGCAGGGAGGGGCCAGGAGCCAAGGAATGCAGGCTGCCTCCAGGGGCTGAAGAAAGCAGAAACAGGGTCCCTCCCAGAGCCTTCGGAAGGAGTGCAGTCCTACGGCGCCTTCATTTTAGCCCAGTGAAACCCACATCAGAATTCTGCCTGCAGATCTGTAAGACTGTCAGTTGGCATTATTTTAAGCCACTGTGTTTGTGGCCATTTGTTACAACAGCAAAGGAAATACCTCATATGCCATTCTGCCAGTTCGCTCAGCTGCCGTGTTTTGGGCACAGGTTGATGGACAGTATGGGACTGTGATGGGATTCTCAGCCCTTTTCTAAGCGACCCCGGGACCCTCATCTCACAGGTGCTTTGTCTGCTGTACATAGCTCCCACCCCATCTCCCATCTTTCAGCAGAGTCTCTTTAATCCTCAGCCGAGGAGCTTCTGCTGCTCATGGAGGTTTATGATTTCATTGATTACCTTCAGGTTACTCTGCTCATTCCTTCCCCCCAAACTCCCAAATCAATCAAGTTCAGGTGAATATTGGCGAAAAGATCAATTCACTCAACTGGTTCTTAACCTTTTGGAGGGCCTTACCCCTTCTGGGATTCCATTGAAAATTCTCAGCCAGACTCAGTGGCTCAGCCTGTAATCCCACGCCTTTGGGAGGCTGAGGTGAGTGGATTGCCTGAGCCCGCGGGTTCGAGACCCACCTGGGCAACTTGGCGAGACCTCATCTCTACAATAAATCAAAAAATTAGCCGGGCGTGGTAGCGCGCCCCTGTAGTTCCAGCTACTTGGAAGGCTGAGACGGAAGGATCGCCGGAGCCCAGCAGGTCGAGGCTGCGGTGACCGGGAGCGTGCCACTGCACTCCAGTCTGGGTGACAGAGTGAGACTCCAACTCAAAAAAAAAAAAAAAGAAAAGAAATAAAATTAGAACTCCCCGAACTTCCAAATCAATCAAATTCAGGTGAGTATTGGGGAAAAATTCATTCATTCCTTAATTCATTAACCTTTTGAGGGGCACTTGAAAACGGTGAATCCCAGCCCTAAAAACCATACCAAAATTGTGCGTACAACTTTAGAGGTTATACAGATTCCCCCAGAAGCTATCCCTTGAAGGTTGAGTAGCTGCTGGGACTTCCTCTGTTACTCCCAAGTTAAGAGCCCTCTTGTAGACCAATACGCAGGGAGGCTCAATGACCTTTTCTAGTAAGTCCCCTTTGGTCCTTGCTAGGCCCTAAGCCCTGTTCATTGGGTCTTCATTATTTGTGGGTTCTGTATTTGTCAAGTCACCTGCTCTCTAAAATTTGCCTGTAACCCCAAGATCAATATTTGTGGACATGGGCAGGGTGGCGAAAATTTGCGTGACCTGATGCGCCCGTTCCCAGCTGAGGTTGAGCAAGACAGCGCTCTGCCTTCATGTTTGAGCACTCAACACTGCACATGTGAGTCCTTTCCGTGATTTATTTAGTGCCACGTTTCTCGTGTTTTTGTACTTTTCGATGGTGGCCTCACTGTTTAACTATCCCCCAGGCATCTGCTGACATGAGGTTTTAGTGTTCCTGAGAGCAAGAAGGTGCTGCTGTGCCATGTGGAGAGTGTACGTGTGCTTGATAAACTTCACTCAAGTTGCGTTATGGTGCCACGGGCTGTGAGTTCCATGTTGATGAATCAACAACGCACAGATGCTCCATAACTTGCCATGGCTCCTACAGGATTTTTCAACTTCACGATGGTGCAAAAGTGACGTGCATTCAGGAGAAGCCGTACTTCGAGTACCCATAGGACCATTCTGTTTTTCACTTTCAGTGCAGTATTCAGTAAATTAAATGAGGTATTCAATGCTGTGATAACATAGGCTTTGTGTGAGATGATGGTACCCAACTGTGGGGTCATGTAAGTGTTCTCAGCATGTTTAAGGTGGGCTGGACTAAGCTGGGTTGTGTTAGGTGTATTAAATGCCTTTTAGACTTAAGATGTTTTCAGCCCGGGTGCAGTGGCTCATGCCTGTAATCCTAACACTTTGGGAGGCAGAGGCGAGAGGATTGCCTGAGCTCAGGGGATTGAGACCAGCCTGGGCAACTTGGTGAGACCTCGTCTCTACAATAAATAAAAAAATAAACTGGGTCTGGGCGCAGTGACTCAAGCCTGTAATCCTAACACTGTGGGAGGCCGAGGTGAGAGGATTGTCTGAGTCCAGGGATTCAAAACCAGCCTGGGCAACTTGGTGAGACCTCGTCTCTACAATAAATAAAAAAATTAGCAGCGTGTGGTGGCATGTGCCTGTAGTTCCAGCTACTTGGAAGGCTGAGACAGAAGGATCGCCTGAACCCAGCAGGTTGAGGCTGCGGTGGCCGTGAACATGCCACTGCATGCCAGCCTGGGTGACCAACTCAAAAAAAAAAAAAGATGTTTTCAACTTGGGATGGGATTATCAGGCTGTAGCCCCCATCATCGTAAGTTGAGGAATATCGTGTATTAAATAGGGTGTCTTTAAACGGAAACACACATACAACAAGGTTATGTGTTGATCGATTGATGAAGGTGTTGTGACTAGAGGCTCTTAGGAACCTGACTCTGTATTTCCACTAGGAGCGATGGTTCAGTATCTGCTAGTGACCTCACAGCACAGAACTACCATGAACAACAAGAATCAAGTGTGTTTTTCAGCTGCTGACCTTTGTTAGTGGTCAGCCCTTCTCTTTATTTTTTGTTTTTGAGTTGGAGTCTCACTGTGTTGCCCAGGTTAGAGTGCAGTGGCCACCACAGCCTTGACCTGCTAGGCTCAGGCAATCCTTCCACCTCAGCCTTCCAAGTAGCTGGAACCACAGATGCGGGTGGGCCACCATGCCTGACTATTTTTTGATTTATTGTAGAGATGAGATCTTGCCAAGTTGCCCAGGCCAGTCTTGAACTGCTGGGCTCAGGCAAGCCTCTTGCCTCAGCCTCTCAAAGTGCTGGGATTACAGGTGTGAGCCCCTGTGCCTGGCCAGCCCTTCTCTTTAAATCACCTCTCACCACCAGTCCTGCTTAGAGAAATGGTGATGGGGAGAAGGTCTTTGGTCTTGTGGTTTGTCCCACGAGCTGTGTTCTGAGCCCCAGCCTGGACAGACCCATCTGTTTGGGGGTGGGGGTGGCAGTTCCTGCTGTGATATCCTGGTGCCTGCCCTCCCCCTCCCAGTCTAGAGGAGAGTAAGGCAAGTGTACCAGCCCTGAGCCAGGCGGCTCTGGGGCTGCCAGGACCCACCCCTAGTGGACTGAGGGCGAGAGGGACTTCTGTGTGGAGGATGGGACTCTCAGACTGACTAGTTCCAATGCCAATTGGGATGTGTGGTCTGATGAACACAGGTGCACTTTGGGGGATGGTTGAGCGAAACCAGGAGATCGAGTCTGTCCTGGAAAGCGTGGGTGTTGTGTCTTTTGACTCAGGGTGTCAGGATGTGCATCAGCTAAAACAAGGTTCACCCACTTAAGAGCCTGTTTTCTTTTCTCTCTCTCTCTTTTTTTGTGTTGGGTCCACCTCAGCATTCAAGGTAGCTGGGACTACAGGTGCACACCACCACACCCAGCTAATTTTTTTGAATGTATTGTAGAGATGAGGTCTCACGATGTTGCCCAGGCTGGTCTTGAACTCCTGTCCTCAAGCGATCCTCCTACCTCAACCTCCCAAAGTGCTGGGATTACAGGCGTGAGCCACTGTGCCGTTGTTGTTTGTATAAATCCTAACAGAAATACGGCTTTTCCTTCCATTAGGGTGGTAAACAGAAAACTCAGCATGTTGGGTATATCTCTGACTTTGTCACCAATGAGTGGTAGCCATTTCTCTGATTCTGTCACCAGTAGAAATCACAGATATTTTTACATCATTTTAGAGATTTTTTGCAGAAATCTCGAAGTAGCATTCATTCTTATCATCAATTTGAAATGAAGGGACTAATAGACTTCATTAGATTTTGCTATTTAAGATACCAATAACAAGGCTACATCTTGTTATATTATAACATTTGAAAAATGTTTTGATAACTAGATTTCAATAAGATCGGTTTCCTTTGTAATCATATTTGTTTTGTTGGGTTTTACAAGAGCTTGACTGAACTGTGTAATTCACATATCACGCAGCTCACCCATCAGAATGTACAACTCCGTGTTTTTTAGTATATTTTCAAGGTTGTGCAACCACCCCCACAATCATTTTAGAACATCTTTGTCCCCCTTGAAAGAAACCCCATACTCATTAGCAAGAATCTACATTCCTACTTCCTGCATGCTAAGCCCCTAGCAAGCACGAATCTTCTATCTGTTTCTATAAATTCACCTGATCTGGGTATTTCATATAAAAGGAATATTTATGAGATCTTTTGTGGCTACCTCTCTTCATACAGCCTAATGTTTTCAAGATTCTGTATTTTGCTCTGTTTGCGTTTAAAACCTGGTTCTGAGTTGCGGTCCAAAGGTCCGGCATCGCCACAGGGGCTTGGGCATCGTGACAGAGGCCAGGGCTCCCTGCGTCTGATGGTCCTACCCCCGTCAGTTTTGTTTTTAAACTAGGTTGTGCCTCGGTTTGGGCTTTGAGGAGCACTGCAGACGACCCAGCAGGCAAGGCAGGCAGCTTGTTTTAGGATGCGTCACACCCAGAGGCACCCAGGCGCCTCTGCCCAGTTTCTGTGGAGTGGTAGCAGTCCCCGGGGGGCAGGTGGGCACCACCAGGATGAAGCTGCCAGTGGGCCACACTTAGGAAGGAAGGTCCTTACAAACGGCTGGCGATGACTCACTCCTGTTTCTGAGCCTGTGGACAGGGACTGCGCAGCAGGGTGACAGAGGGCCACTTACTATCACCTGGAAACCGGAACCCCAGCACCTCTGGCCATCCTGGGACTCACGCTCCTCCCTCCAACCCCCAGGAAGCTGCGGGCGCTTCCAGAGAGCGAGCTGTCCGTGGGAAGGTCTAAATCCTTGCAGCTCTGTGATTTGCGAATCATCAAACCTCCACACGTTGTGTTTGTGGGCTGTGCTATTGTCTCTGTGTTTTCTTCTGGGAGTGGGTGGACAGCCAGATTGGCAAGCCGGGTGTGAATGAGTGGAATGAGCAGGAGATCTCGCTGATGCCTTCTGTGATGTGCTTCTCCCCCAGCTCCGGAAGAAAAGGAAGTCATTAAAGGACTGTATGGCAAGCTCGCGGATGCTTACGGCTGCCTGGGGGAGCTCAGGTTAAAGTCTGGTGAGTAGCTGATGGCGGAGGGAGCGGCTGCCAGGCTCTCCTGTGGTGGACAGAGCCTTCTTTGCGTGCCTTGCAGAGGCTGTGGGTGTGGGCATTCTATTTTCACCGCACTTCTCTCTTAAGATGTTTCTTTACGCCCCAGAACCGGCTCCTTCATGCAGGGGGGGAGACCAAGGTGAGTGTAGCCTGGTTGTCACCTGTCTGTGCAGGTGCAGGGGGCGTGGCTTCCAGCCCCATGCCAGGGATGCTCTCCAGCACTGTTTGTGTTTCCAAAGTCTGGCTAGGGGCTTCTGCCCAGTGGCTTTTTGGTCATATTCTAGAAGGTGGGCTGAGGTGGATGGACAAGGACAGGGACCAGGGCAGGTCCTGGGGACAGGGGGTGGGCTGGCAGTCAGCAGGAGAGAAAAGCCACTGATGTCTGCCTGCCAGACCCTCGATGTGAGGTGAAGGAGAGGAAGAGAAGTCATCTCCACACAGGGACGGTGTGGTCTCACTTGAAGGAGAGAGAACTTCCGGGGAGGAGTGGGCATCCCTGCTCAGTCTGAGCCGGTTGCCGGCTGTCGTTGGCGGCCATGGCCACCTCTGCGTCACCTCTGCTATTCCCAGAGTTTGGGATTCCCGGTGCCCTCCGGTTCTGCAGCCTCCTCTCTCGGCCCATCCTGTGCCGCCAGTGACCTCACTGTGGAGCTTTCCTGTGACTTCTGGGGCCAGGGCCAGGGGAGGGTCTCATTCCGGTTTTCGTTCCCCCCTGGTCGAAACGGGAATGGTTGTGAATCGTCCAAATTGGGCCTTTCCTGGGCTGAGCGTGTCCTTCCTACCAATTGTTTTCAAAGACTGGGGAGTTTAAAGCCCACAGAAAGGCACTGTTACGTCTGCCGTTCCTTTTTCTGTTGTAGAATGTGTTTTCTTAAACAGTGATGATTACATCGATCATTTCCAAACAGTCTTGAGGAGAAACACACGGTACCCATATGACAATGTGCATTTATGAATTGTCTGTTTTGAGCCAAGGGCTAGACATACGTTAGCTCACTTAATCCTAAAAATAGGCCACTATGATCATGTGTCTTTGTCCCCATTTACAGTAAAGGGAACAGGCTCAGAGGGTTCAGGGAACCTGCCCAAGGTGAAAAGGTGCTGGGAATCGAACCTGAATCCAGCCACCTCTTTTCCGTGAAAGTGTGCTGCTTGGTGGGGACTTTCTGCAATATTTTCCCTCTGCACTGATCTTCCTGGGGTTACCAAAAATTCCTGGGCCTCTCGTCATGATGGCAGTGAGGACGGTGGCCCATGCCTGCATGGTGCTGTCTCTGTGCTGGGTTCTCCTTGGTCGACTGAGTCAGATAGGTGCTGTTGTCATCCTGCTTTGCAAAGCAGAAGGGATGCTGCATTTGATCTCTTCTGACACTTGTGTTCATGCTGTGACGTCTAGGCCCTCAGGGTGTGTCGCAGTCCTGGCATCTTGCCGTTCAGCAGCTGTGTTTGCTACACAGATGAATGGTGCCTTTTGCATCTGACGGGGACTGGGGCTCAGTGAGGTCCAGTAGCTGGCCCAAGGTCACACTGTTCTCAACTGGTGACCTGGACCTTAAACTCATACCTTGTGACAGCAGGACTATCTGGCCCACCAGGCTGCTCTCCCTTGCAAAAGGGGCGTGTGGCCGGGAACACGGAGACCAGGAAGAGCCGTGTCGTCCCCCTCCTGGGGAAAGGCGTTTTTCCTGAGCTGTGCTCTAAGATCAGCTCTGGGGAATGGGTCCTTCCTGGGAAGTGTAGCAGCCCCCAAGGAAATGCCTGTCAGAGTGAGCCAGGGGTCTCTGCGGGGTTCCTGGCTAAGGGGCCAGGGTGGGCATCCACAGGGTCTGTCTTCTGGGGCAGAAAGAGTGGAGGGGATGGCCAGCTCTTAGGACTGCCCTAGACCAGGCCCTTCTCCCTCCCTTCTGTGCCCCCCGTATCCCACGAGTGAGGTAGGGTTCTGGGGGGGCCACAAGAGACAGGTATACAGCTTTGGACTGGGCAACTCCAGCTGGCACAGTTCATTGTAGTCTGGGATTTGAATACAGTCCCTTGAGACTATGAAACTCAGAGGCCCTGAGAGCTCCAGTTAGAGCAGTTAAATCCCTGTAACCGTTGAGGTAAATTCTTACTTTTCTGCTACACTCTCACTGTCTATGCTTTGAACTGTGCATGTCTCAGGAAGCCGGCTCCCTGGCTCATCGTGGAGCTCGGATACTCGTTGTTCTCGCCCCCATTCTGATGTTCCCTAAGGCCCCAGCCCTGACCAACCTGCTGGAGGCACCCCCAGGGCAGGCGGGAAGTCCCTCTGAGCTGGTGAGGGTGAGTAACTTCCGGAGGGTCAGGACTCACCGATCTTCCTTTCTGACTGTGAGTCCCTGGCTGGAGCTGAATGTTTCCTCTTGTGTCTGTCCCCTTGAGGGTGTTGGCACAGAGAGTGGGACTCCAACCACAGGGCTCCCACTTGTAGAACTCTGACTTTTAGTTACCATGATCTGCTGGGCTCAGGTGATTCTTCCACCTCAACCTCCCGAGTAGCTGCGATGACAGGCATGCACCACCTTACCTGGCTAACTTTTTTATTTATCGTAGAGATGAGTTCTCACCATGTTGCCAGGCTAGTCTCAAACTCCTGGGCTCAAGCAGTCCTCTCCCCTCAGCCTCCCAAAGTACTGGGGTTTCAGTGTGAACCATCGCACCCAACCTCATCGTAACCATTTTCCACCAAGGAGACCAGCTAGGTCAGGAGTGGGCTTTCCCTTGGGCCTCCCTTTTGATTTTTTTTAGCTGAGAGTCTCTGTAGAAAGAAAGAGGCTTCCCCTCGGGCCCTTAATGTGGGACAAGTTTTGTCTTCAATTTGGGACGAATTTCAGTCTACCTAAATGAAAATGACTTTTTACATTAGAAATGAAGAAATGTGCACAGAAATTGCATAAAAGCTCTATTCCAGGTTCCCAGGGTTTTGTGGAGGACCCAAAGTCCTCCTGCCTCCCTGAAATGCCAGCAGGAAGGGGTTGGAGCCCGTGTGATAAGCCAGGGGGTCGAGCTTCCTGAAGAATATACAATACAAAGCATACAAAGTGAGAGTGTAGCAGAAAAAAATAATTTATCACAATGATCCTAGGGATTTAACTCTGCTCTCCAGGCCTGTCTGTTCATAGCCTCAAAGGACTTTATTCAAGTCCCAGGCTATAATGAATTGTGTCTTCTGGAGTTGGGCAGTACACAACATGTGAAGCTGTGCATGACAACCCTCCTGGATGCTAGTTGCTAGTTCCAACTTCACAACTGATCTTCTGCATTCAGTCTTTCCAAGGCTGCATTCCCATCTGTAAAACAGGAAAATTGCCTCATCTCTAACTTATATAGTTCTTAAGAGATCCACATGAGGGGGTTAACGTGGTAGCCTTGGAAAATATGGAGTACTCCACCAAGGCCAGTCATGCTGGCCATAGCAGTTTGTTAGCGTGTGACCTAGGGACACTGACGGTCCTGTAGCTGATGGAGGGGACCCTGCACTCACCACCTCTACACCGAGAAGTCCTGGTGTCTCATTCCTTGGTCGCTGAGGTGCTGAGTGGCCAAGTGGTGCTGAGTGACAGGGGCTGGCCTGCAGAGGGGTCCCTTTGAGAGGACTAGGGTGAGGTGAAGGGCCAGCCTGCGTGGCTTCAGGGGTGTGGACTCCGGGTGGGTGGCTACTCAGTGCAGGTTGACAGAGGGCTGACTTCATGGGCAGTCATTTCGGAATGAAAATTCTCTGAAGATGGCCTGGTGTGGTGGCTCACACTGGTAGTCCCAGCCCTTTGGGAGGCCAAGGTAGGCAGGATCACTTGAGGTTGGGATTTCAAGATCAGTCCAGGAAACATAACAAGAACGCTGTCTCTACTAAAAAAATTTTTAAAAATCAGCCAGGTGTGGTGGCACAGCTGTAGTCTTTAGCTACTCAGGAGGCTAAGGCAGGAGGATCGTTTGAGCCCAGGAGTTCGAGGTTATAGCGAGCTATGATTGCCCTACTGCACTCTAGCTTGGATGACAGAGCAAGACTCTGAGTCTAAAAAAGAAAGAAAGAAAATTCTCCAAAGAGGAGTTGGTGTCATCAGTCTTTTGAGATGCAATGTTCTCTAGCAAGTCTTGAAATGGACTAGGTTTTGTGTTAGAATAATTTTTTTTTGAGTTGGAGTCTTACTCTGTCCCCCAGGCTGGAGTACATTGGCACAATCACCACTACCGCAGCTTTAGCCTGCTGGGCTCAGGCGATCCTTCCACCTCAGCCTCCCAAGTAGCTGGAACCACAGGCACACACCACCACACTCAGCTAATTTTTTAATTTCTTGTAGAGATGAGATCTTGCCATGTTGCCCAGGCTGGTCACGAACTCCTGGGCTCAGGCAGTCCTCTAGCCTCGGCTTCTCAAAGTGCTGGGATTACAGGCGTGAGCCACCACACCTGGCCTGTTCGAATAATTTATTTTAGTCGGGCTCAGTGGCTCAGCCTGTAATCCCGTACCTTGGGAGGCTGAGGTGAGTGGATTGCCTGAGCCCGCGGGTTCAAGACCCGCCTGGGCAACTTGGTGAGACCTCATCTCTACAATAAATAAAAAATTAGCCGGGTGTGGTAGTGCGCGCCTGTAGTTCCAGCTACTTGAAAGGCTGAGGTGGAAGGATCACCGGAGCCCAGTAGATCGAGGCTGTGGTGGCCGGGAGCGGCCACTGCACTCCAGTCTGGGTGACAGAGTGAGACTCCAACTCAAAAAAAAAAAAAAAGAATAATTTATTTTAATACTCATGCCCAGTGGCAGGCTGGTACATATTTGGCACCCATCTCTGGGGGAAGTTCTTATTTGGGATGTTTGCCAATTTCCATGATGTAAACACACCCACCATGGCTGATTCCAGGCTATCAGTGTGGTTGGGGAGAGATGAGTCCCACGGGTGCCTGTGAGCTATATACACCGCACCAGCATCGCTGCGCATGCCGCTTTTGCA